ACACTTAAACCTGATAAAGAGTCAAATATCTTTTGTGCATTTATTACTTCCCAGGAATTCTGCCAGGCTCTGGGTATCAGAGGCAAAAAAGATATACAATTTTTTTTTCTTCATGTCTCTTAGAATCCATAAGAGAAAAGCCATGTACCTGGACTGAAAACCTCAATGTAATACATACTGTATGCCAATTTTCACATAGTAAAGCCTAATATACTGAAAATCTGAAAGGTGTGTGTGCATTTAAATCTGACACACTGATTATTGCAAGTAGGTTGAGTATGACATATTAAGACTCTACTAATTTCCCTGAAAGGTTTTGGGTTGCGTTCTCTGCCCATCTATATGCCAATATACTTCTTACAGCTGTCAAAGAAGAATGAAAGGAGGAGTGGATACCATTCAGTCTAAAAGGTGCAGAGTGGTCCAGTGCTTGGGGAGCATCTTGGTGCAGGCTCTACAGATCCGGGCTGCAGTCTGGCGAATCCTATCCTAAGCTGCAAGTTTGTGCACAATGGACAGTAAGGCACCCAGGGGGAGCCAGGTCTGCAAACTGTGGGAGTGAGACCTCCAAGAGCAAAGTGGGCTTGAGACAGGAATCAAGCTTGGAGAGAGGAAAATAATAAAGTTCGGGATTTACTGAGCACTCTTCATGTGTAAAGGCACATGTCCCTGGACGAGTGGGAAAGTGCATAAAAACCTGGAAGCCTTACTAAAAAAATCTCTACTTGGAAGGGCCAGAGACTTGGGAAGCTATTGGTAAGCAATTCGGGTTGGGTCAGGTGCTCCTCCCCTGTGCTCCCACGGCATCCCATAATATCTCTATGACCCTGACCACTCGCTGAGTTTTTGGAGGGCAGGGATGGTATCTATCAACATTTGAGCCCTTCCCACAGTGTTGTTATTCAGAAACTGCCGCATGAGCGAGGAAGGCAGCTTCTACAACAGACTTGAGCCCTTCGTGCCCACTGGTCTTCATGCCCTTGTGCAGTCCCTCCTACACTGAAAAGGATATGTCACGAATAGGATTCTTGTGTCTCTTTCTCTGGAAGAAGTCAGCTGCTGCATGAGCAGCCCAATGGAGAGGTCCAGGGAGGAGATACTGAGGCCTCCTGCCAGCAACCAGCACCAATGAGATGGCCGGGAGTCGAGCCCTGCACTGTAAGCTCATGAGAAAACCCAAGGCAGAACCACCCAGAGGATCTGCTCCTGAGTTACAGAAAGTGCATGAAACAGTAAACATTTCTTACTGCCTTCAGTGGCTAAGCGTTAGGGTCATTTGTCATACAGCAATAGACAATTGACAGTCATGAATAGCTGAATAGCTCGAATAGCTCGCTGGTTGAAGATTGCCCCATAATAGAACTGTTGAAGATAAGACATGCCAACAACAGGAGTCACTGTGCACTTACTCCTCATGTAGGATCTCTGTCCTTAATGTGCTGTACATTGAAACTTAATGCTATAATGAGTATTCAAACAGTATATTTCGCTTTGTGTTTCTATGGGGGTGCAAACTGTTGAAATCTTTCCTTAATGTATACTAAACTGATCTTCTGTAAAAAAAAAAAAAAAGAAGAAATTATCAATTCCCAACTTGACTCTCACTGGGATTAAACATGACAATAGGTCTGATCTGATTTCATCATCATTTAAAAAATCATCTATTATTTTTCACTTTATGTTTGTGTGGGAGCAAACTGTTGAAATCTTTACTTAATGTATGCTAAACTGATCTTCTGTATATAAAGAGAATCGAAAATGAATCCTCATGTGAATGGAAGGGGAGAGGGAGAGGGAAAGGGGAGGGATGCGGGTGGGAGAGACGATATGGGAGGGAAGCCATTGTAATCCATAAGCCGTACTTTGGAAATTTATATTCATTAAACAAAAGTTAAAAAAAAATTCTAAAAAAAAAAAAAAGATAAGACATGCATTGGTTGTTCAGTGTCAGTCATTCTGTGGGATAGGAAAAATTAAAGAGAGAATGAAATATCAAATTTGTGAATCACCAAAGGGAGAGAAAAGAGGCAAAAAAAATGTTGCAAGAAGTAAAGATAAAGGATTAGAAATGAAGCACAAGATAACAAAACGCACACTTATTACTATGACAGAGATATCAACAGATAAGCCTCTCCTAGGAAAGACCAACTACTCCTAGTCCCCAGGGAAATTCCTCTGCCCCGCCGTGCGTGGTGGGGCTCATTTCTCCTTGAGTGCAACTAGAGTGAGACCCCGGGGCTGACGTCCCACTAGGTCTCCTGTGGGCCTGGTTCCTCTCTCCTCCCTGCTGTGGGCATGTACCTTGTAGCAGTTTCCCTGCAACACTGTGGAACCTTCTTAGGGCTTAAGTTCTTTGAGAACAGAACTGATATAGGAGAATGTTTAGAGCTTATTGTGTTTGTTGATGATGCTCTGAAGTGCTCTTTTTGTCATTTTAGGATTACTCCACCAGCCATCGAGTCCTGGTATAGAAACCACTTGTGACCCCTGCATGAAGGCTTCTGTGCCATTCTTGGTGGAGGTGGTGCAGCAGTGGAGGAGATGGGACTGTGTAGTGGTGAGGCAGATGGCATCCATAGTGATCCTGAGGACAACACAAGCTCCACCTGTGTGTGGGAAGCAAGACTTTCACTTCCAGTGTGGCCAAGGTCTGTCTTTTGGCCAGAACTGCAAATGTTGCAATTGACCTTAAGTTAAAAGTGTTGGTAAAATCCTAGTTTGTCACATATTCTCTCATATTGTTTAACTACATTTTCCAATATTTCATGCATTCTATACATTATGGTAACCTATCTGTCACATTGGAAGCCCTAAGTTACTACAATGACATTGTGCTAAGACTTTACCCCCACTAAAACCTAAAACTATCAACTTTTCAAACCAAACTCAAATATAAAAAAAGTATGCCATATTTTCTTGTTATTAAATCTACTCTTTCTTAGGTACTTGGGTCTACAACAGCATTTTAAGGGACCCTGAAGCACTATTAAAACTTCATTTTTTATGTAACTTTTTAAAATCAAACCAGATTATGGGGCCTGTACGGTGCACAGCAGGTTAATGCCCTGGCCTGAAGCACTGGAATCCCATATGAGTGCCGGTTTGAGACCCAGCTGCTCCACTTCCAATCCAGCTCTCTGCTGTGGCCTGGGAGAGCAGTAGAAGATGGCCCAGGTCCTTAGGCCCCTGCACCCATGTGGGAGACCGGAAGAAGCCCCTGCTTCTGGCTTTGGATTGGCATAGCTCCAGCCATTGCGGCCAATTGGGGAGTGAACCAATGGATGGAAGATTTCTCTCTCTCTGCCTCTCCTGTGTAACTCTGACATTCAAATAAATAAATAAATCTTAAAAAAAAAAAAACAGATTACTATTTTAGAAGACAGAGTTCCCTTTCTCTGGGAAAAGCTGAGTCTAAAACAAAAACTGTGAAAGAGGTCCTGTCACTGTTATCAACATCCTCCAAAGAAGAGGCCCAGGACCCTGAATGAGAACAAATACTGCAGGTTCATTTTCACCTCTAAGAAAACCTGAATATGTGTGGCTCCAAAGAAGGTGTGTGAAGAGGTGATATGAATCAATCCCAACTTATCTAAGTCATGAACTCCCAAAAAGATAATAGAAATCATTTAGTTGTCGGATTAAAAGAAGTTTATATATTGGGTAAGTTTTTAACCTGAGGCATTTTATCATTATTTCAATATTGCAATGTGGCTTCCAATAGTGACTGTTCTGCCCTTTACTTGTCACTATTTTAGAAGGCTTGGCCCTTCAGGAATCAGACCCCGGACATCATACACCCAGGAGGTTTGCCTCTTCCTGCCCCTTTCTCCAGCTCTCACTCACCATGCGGTGGTCCTGAGGGGACAGTGGGCTGGCCAGAGCTCTTCTGGGGTCATTGGAAGTTTCTCATTCCTTGGCATCCAGATGCATATACCCTTGCTACCTTTCTTGTAACTTCTAAGGGCCTAAGTGGACACTAAAAGACCTTTCCATTAAAAGATAAGTTAGGGGGCCAGCGCTGTGGCATAGCAGGTAAAGCCGCCGCCTGCAGTGCCGGCATCCCATACGGGTGCTGGTTCAACTTCCGGCTGCTCCAAGTTCCAATCCAGCTCTCTGCTATGGCCTGGGAAAGCAGCAGAAGATGGCCCAAGTCCTTGGAATCCTGCACCCACGTGGGAGACCCGGGGGAAGCTCCTGGTTCCTGGCTTCGGATCGGTGCAGCTGCAGTCGTTGCTGCCAAGTTGGGAGTGAACCAGTGGATGGAAGACCTACTTCTCTGTGTAACTCTGACTTTCAAGTAAAATAAATAAATCTTTTAAAAAATAAATAAAAGATAAGTTAGATCACACTTCATGCCAATCCTGAACAAAGTATACTTGATGTGGGTTATCACTGGAAGAGTCTCTACATCAGTACTTTGAATGTGGCTACTGTGTGTTCTATCATACTCCCAGGCCAGCCTGCAAGCTTCCGTGTGTCTTTCAAATTGGGGGGCAGATTCAGTCTACTAGCTGTGCTGGGGAGTCTCCTTCATGCTTTTGGCCAGGCCCAGGGAGACAGTCAAGGAGATGGATCTGACCCTTGCTAACCACTTAGTTCCCATGGTGGCTGACGTACTAAGTAGATCATGGGATGGGAAAGAGGAAATTTTTGTTTGAGTTTGATGTCAGTCTGGAAAAGGCAACCAAATCAGGACCTTCCCACTCCAAGCCAGGGAATTCAGGCAACTTTGGAAGAGTTCCTGAAACATAAATGTGCTGGCCTCCCTTAGAGTTTCCACTGTATCCAGCATGCCTAAATCCCATGCAACTCTTCATATGTATAGTCCAAAAGTCTCTGATGAGGGCTGATGGTAGAATACATAAAGTGAGCGTCTGGGACTCACAGTCAGAGGGCATGGACCCCCAAATATGTCAGTAAAACGAAACCCCCCAACTGAGCACCCACCAGACCCACCCACATAGGTACACACCAGCACAAAGCAGCCGATGGAGACACAATATTCTGAACTAGTCTTTATGTTCACGTACAGTGGTTATGAGCCCCTTGCCCCTCCCTGGGCCCCATGCTGGCAGACAAGCGCGCTCCAGTAATGCAGAGAGAAGAGCAGCTCCGTGCCCCCTCCTGGAGAGTCTGTGATCAGGAGGAGGATGTGAAGTAGTTACTGCTTCTCAGTTGTAATAAAGGCTTAGGTAGGCCACACGGTTCCGATGCTTTCTGAATTCCTTGTCTGTGGACAGCTGCAATGAAAGAATATTGTCTCACTCTGGGTTCTTTTTTTTTTTTTTTTTTGACAGGCAGAGTGGACAGTGAGAGAGAGAGACAGAGAGAAAGGTCTTCCTTTTGCCGTTGGTTCACCCTCCAATGGCCGCCGCGGCCGGCGCGCTGCGGCCGGCGCACCGCGCTGATCCGATGGCAGGAGCCAGGAGCCAGGTGCTTTTCCTGGTCTCCCATGGGGTGCAGGGCCCAAGCACCTGGGCCATCCTCCACTGCACTCCCTGGCCACAGCAGAGAGCTGGCCTGGAAGAGGGGCAACCGGGACAGAATCCGGCGCCCTGACCGGGACTAGAACCCGGTGTGCCGGCGCCGCTAGGCAGAGGATTAGCCTAGTGAGCCGCGGCGCCGGCCCTCACTCCGGGTTCTTATAGGACCCTCTGCTTCTGGTCTTTCTGGCTGTGGAAAACAGAACTGCACACCATAGCTGTGTGGCCCAGCTGAACCCTAATCCCACAGCAACTGAGCCTCAGTGATTCTCTCAATATGTGTGTGTGCACTTGCCACTTACCATCTTACTAGGGTATGGATCATTCTAGGACTCACTTGCTACTTGGTAAATCTGCAAGAAGTTGGCAGGCTTCTTGATGACAAGGATTATATGTCTAATTCTTGAATGGTACCCAAAGGCTCCAACCCCATGATGGCTACACAGTAGGCATTTAATAAATATTTGTAATAAATATTTAATAAATATTTGGATTTATAAATATTAATCCAAAGTTCCAATAGGAGAAAAAGTATTTCTGGAATCATAAAGGCTAACATTGCATATTTATTATTATGTTATCAGGTGTTAAATGTTTCTCTACACTATCTCAATTGTTAATCTTTAGAACATAACATTGATTCTATTATTATTACCATCTTATAGAAAAGAAAACCGAGGCCTAGAAAAATTCAAGGGCTTGCCCCAAATCACACAGCAAAGAAATAGTAGAACTAGTATTTGAACCCAGGCAATGTTGTTCCCAGAATCGATGCTGTTAGCCAGAATGTCCTACAGCTCCCTGGTGGCATAATACTCAAGTGGTGTGACAGAAGGAGTATTACCGTAGCAGTCACAAGACCTGGATTCCAGCTGCACAACCTTCCCAGATTACTTAATCCATCTAAGCCTCAGTGCCTCCCTCTCTTCAAGGGATATTTCTTCTGGGTCTACACAAAAGATTATTTGAGGGTCAAATAAGAAATGTGACTTAAGTCTGTCATATATTGCTTTATAGATGGAATGAAATTGTCTAACTATCCAAAAAGATCCTCATATTGTTAGACAACAAAATTGTGCATTTAATGGTAGAGGACCAAGGACTACATCAAGCTCATTCACAGACTCTTCATCAAGGATCCCTGAGATACATGAAAGTACCAGACAGAGTGCTCTACGGAAATCCAATCTGATTACCTCAGTTTTTAGGGTTCTTTTCTGTAGACATGGCACCTGAGCCCAGTCTGGAGATCCAAATTGCATAGGCCAAGCAACTTTGAGGGGTGGCTTCTTCTCTGGGTTGTATGAACTAGGGCTAGAAACAACAATGGGAACATGATGCCCAATGGGTTGGTAACCACATGCCAATGCCTTCACTCCCACAGTCAGTCCTGAAAACAAGTGCCTCAGAGAGAGCTAATGGCTACTCTCCTGGTATAATTAGTAAGAGGCTCCACTTACTCTCAGAAGTGTCACAGTTCGATAAACTTGAGGTCATTCTCCTTACTTACCACAACTGATATTTTATTAGATATTTGTTTCTCATTCATCTGGGAATGCAAACCCCAAGGAATCAAGAGCCTGTGTGATGTGTTTACTGAACACAAATGTCTGGCACATTCACAAATATTTATTGAACAAAAAATTATGATTCTACAATGCTGTAATGCCAGAGATCTGAGAGACAAGAGGTTAAATCTTTAAAGATGGGCAGTTTTGGTTTTTTCTTTTTTCAGTTGAGATGGTCTGGATGTAGTTCCCTCTTTATGTACTCCTTTTCCTACCGCTTTGTTTATTGGAACATGCCAGTAAAGAGGAGACATACCCCGGGTAAGAAGGATCCTTTGAAAAGGTCCTAAATCGAGGCATCAAGACATTAAATGGAGCAAAAGTTTGTTTGTATTTTCCATCCTGAATATCTACTTTCTGGTACATGCCTGGATAATGCTTCATATCCTGTTTCCAAGAGAAAAAAAATCAGTATGTGGGTGCACACACACACATACACACACACACATACACACACACAAAGAGAGAGAGCACTTTAAAGGCTTTCAGGTTAAAATAAAAAGCAGAAGATTCCTTTTCTTGTTCAAGGTTCAGCCGCCTTGAGCTCTAGTAATAGAAAACCAACACATGGGGCGGTTCAGCTGCCTCAGCAGCAGGCTGCACTAATGAACCAAGGCAAGCTGCTGCAGCCACCGACCCGCTCAGGTTTTCAGAGCCAGGGTCCACATCCTGGAGCTTCAGTGTCAGGGAAATGTCCACAAGAGACTCGGATTCTACACCCAGGACTTCAAACGTGAAATCCAATCACACGGAAGTTTGAAAAAGTTGGAATTCTTTTGTGACTGACATGATGGTCTGATCTACATTCACACAACTCGCAGGATTTTAACCCCGAGTCTCTCAGCACCTGTCTTAGGACAATTTCTTCAACTGTTTTCCACTCTCCCTGGTACAGTCACACACACAACTGTAGTGCTCACACGCAAGCTTCGAGGAGAGGCTTCTTAATAGCTTTTAGTTTTTTTTTTTTTTTTTTTTTTTTTTTTTACAGGCAGAGTGGACCGTGAGAGAGAGAGACAGAGAGAAAGGTCTTCCTTTGCCATTGGTTCATCTTCCAATGACCGCCGCGGCAGGTGCACTGCGCTGATCTGAAGGCAGGAGCCAGGTGCTTCTCCTGGTCTCCCATGGGGTGCAGGGCCCAAGCACTTGGGCCATCCTCCACTGCACTCCCTGGCCACAGCAGAGAGCTGGCCTGGAAGAGGGGCAACCGGGACAGAATCCGGCGCCCCGACCGGGACTAGAACCTGGTGTGCCGGCGCCGCAAGGGGGAGGATTAGCCTAGTGAGCTGTGGCGCCGGCCCTTAATAGCTTTTGCCACCAATGCCTGCTTTTCTAGATTCTCTAATACAAATACACGTCCCACAAGGATCACACTGACAGCCAGGGTACTACCTTCTCCATCGGCTGGAACCTCAAGGCCGTTCTGGCTCCAAAAGCATATCCTTTTGTGCTGGTCGGGATCTTGGATAGGCTGCAGGCCAAGCCACACCACTTTGAGCGGTTAATTAAAAACAAGGACACACAGAGGATATTAGAGTCACCGGAATCGTCTCCGCGAGAGCTTGCTCTTTCTTGTCTTCACTCCTTCAAAGACCTTACGGGCAATTTTACACGGGACGTGGCTAGATAGGTAGAGTGACATTTCTCTGAATCCAGCCTTCTAGTAGCGTGCCGCACACACAGAGCCAGTCCTGCCCTAACTCTACTGTGGCCTGAGAGTCAGACTAATGGGGTGGGGGGCTGGGGAACTGGCATCTGCTCACAGGCCGCTTCGGGGAGGGGTGGAGGGCGCGCTCCGTGGCAAGGCTAGTTTAGTGGGCTAGGACATGGCGCCAACGGTCGGCCGGCCCTTCACTCCTCGCACTGGCTTGGCCAGCCGGTTGCAGACCAGGATGCTTTCTCGCGCTGGGACCCCATCACAAATCCCCTCCTTTTTCTTACGGGAAACTTGGGTTTCCGTTGATAACTGGAGAATGGAGACCCCCCACCTGAGGGAGGGTAAATACTCACATCCGTTGTGTAACATCCAGGCCCTCTGTGAGGCGAGCCCCTAAGTGGGAGAAACTTGTTCCCCAACCGGTTTGGGGGATGATGGTGAGGAAAGAGCTTCCTCTGCTGACATGTTCCGAATGAGTAGTTATTCACCGCTTCTGCAGGATGAGAAAGGGGAGAAGCGCCAAGTGAGGGAAGGCACCTGGTTCTACCGCGACGCGCCGGCGCCGAGCGGAGGACAGCATCCCTACAAAGGCTTCCTTTCGAGACCCAGACCGATGCCCCCAGGGGGCTCAGGCTGCGCCGGCCTTGTCCCCAGCCCTCGGCCGCCTCGGCTCCGGGCTCCGGGCTCCGGACTCACTAGCTTTGCCGAAGCACATCGCGCGCCGCCGGGAGCACCTGTGTACCGCGTTGCCGAGGGAACGGGGGCCGCGAGCTGGAGGCGGGGTGCGCGCCTGCGCAGCGGAGGGCGGCCCGCGGGATTCGCGAGCTCTAGGAGAGGGCTAGGGTGGGCGTTGGGGCCGCGAGCAGGCGCCCTGCTGCAGGCGAAGGGCGGTGGGATCCGAACGCCCTGGAGTCAGGGACCCTGGGACTGAGCAAACGGAAGACGCTGCAGCTGCGGTGAAGGCGCCAGGTGCTGAGGGCTGGGGGAAGGGGGTCTGTTGGCCCATGGGTAACACTGGGTCCCAGGCGCAGTGCCCAGGGCAGCGGTCAGGGGCGGAGCCAAGCCCACCGCCCCTTCCGTGCGGGGCCTCTCCTGCACCCGTTTTTGCTTTTCCTCAAGCCAGCTCTGGTTGCCCCCTTCTGCCCCATGTTGGATGGAGGTGGTGGGCAACGAGGCTTTAACAGCCCCTGAGCCCCTGAGCGGAACCGCAGAAGAGAGTGCTGCCTGATCACAAAAGCACTTCTAGTTTTGAAGTCTTGGGCAGGCACTTAAAGCTTGAATCCGCTTCCTCTTCTCCACGTCGGGAGTGCTAACGCTTGTTTAGACGTTGTTGAGAGGATGAAGATAACTGGATTTAAACACTTTGGTGCCTGGTCCTTGGTGGTTGGCAGCAACAAGAAATTATCACTGCGGATAGCATTTAACCCTTGGCGAGCACTTGTATCCTAACCCAAGAGAACAGTTCAGAGACCCGGATGGAGTTCCTGGCTCCTGGCTTCCGCCTGGCCCAGCCCTGGGAGCTGCAGCTGTCTGGGGGAGTGAACCAGGAGCAGGAAAATTTTCAGAGTACTGAAGGAAAAAAAATATTGCCAGGCAAGGAAACTCTACCCAGGAAAGCTATCATTCAGACATGAGGGAGAGATGAGGACATTCCTGTATAAACTAAAGCTGAGAGAATTTCTCACCACCAGACCGAGCTTACAAGCATTGCTAAAGGAAATTCTTCAGGATGAAACAAAGAGATGCTAGTGAGTAAGAAGAAAAAACAGAAAATAGAAATCTTAGTGGTAATAGTAACTATACAGGTAAAATTTTTTTAAGATTTATTTTATTTATTTGAAAGAGTTACAAAGAGAAGTAGAGGCAGAGAGAGGTCGTCCATCTGCTGGTTCACTCCCCAGATGGCCGCAACGGCCAGAGCTGCGCCGATCTGAAGCCAAGAGCCAGGAGCCAGGAGCCAGGAGCTTCTTCCAGGTCTCCCACACGGGTTCAGGGGGCAAGGACCGGGCCATCTTCTACTGCTTTCCCAGGCCATAACAGAGAGCTGGATCGGAAGAGGAGCAGCCGGGTCTCAAATCAGCGCCCATATGGGATCCCGGCACTTTAGGTCAGGGCTTTAACCCACTGCGCCACAGCACCAGCCCCTATGCAGGTAAAGATACTCTAATACTGTAAATACTCTAATATTGTAAACATGATACATAAACAATTCATCTCTTTAGTATGAAGACTAAGAAATAAAACCATTAAAATGGTAATTATGGGGCTGGCATTGTGGTGTAGCAGGTTAGGCTGCTGCCTGCAATGCTGGCATCCCATATGGGTGCCAATTTTTGTCCTGGCTGCCCCACTTCCGATTCAGCTCCCTGCCAATGCACCTGGGAAAGCAACAGAAGACCCAAATCCTTGGGCCCCTGCACTTACATGGGAGACCCAGAAGAAGATCCTAGCTCCTGGCTTCAGCCTGGCCCAGTCCTGGCCATTGCGGCCATTTAAGGAGTGAACCAGCAGATGGTTCACTCTCTCTGCCTCTCCTCCTCTCTCTCTGTAACTCTGCCTTTCAAATAATAAGTGAATTTTTAAAAAGGTGATTAGGCTAAAATGTTAAGAGACAGGCATCATAGAAACAGAAAAAAGTGGGACAAATGTAGAGTTTTTAAGTTTGCATTCACCTCCTTATTTGCTACTTTTCCAATGTTTATAGTCAACACCAAGTTGCTATCACTTCAAAATAGTATATTATAATCAGACTATGTTTTTGTAAGCCTCATAGTAATCACAAATGAAAAAAATCTATAATATATTTATTAGAAACATCAAGCAAAGAATTAAAATATACGATTAGAAAAAATTCCTTAACCATAAAGGAATATTGTAAGAAGGAGAAATAAAGAATGAAAGGAACTACAATTAAAGTAGAAAACAAATATCAAAATGACAATAGGAAGACCTTACCTATCAATAAATACCTTAAATGTAAGTGGAATAAATTCCCCAGTTAAATGACATAGAATGAGTTGATAAAAAACAAAACCTCAGACTCCATCTTCCTTGGGAAAAAGAAAGCAGAAAAATCTGCGACCCTGACCTCTGCTGCAAGCCAGCAGCCCCATCTACAGAATTCCACAGTCTAGACCAGAAAGCTGGCTGGGGTCTAAGTGACCGCTTTTCTCCAAAAGAGGAGCCCACATTGCCCCATCCCACCTCCAAAGTCCCTGACCTCTGCTGCTGCAGCACTGTCGCTGCTAGACTCCATTCTGTATTAGGGGACAGCGGCAGCCCCATTGTCACCAAAAGGCTCCCATCCTTAGGACCAGTGCACCTCATAGACAGAGACCAGGCTCCTCTGCATCCTGCAGTTGAAGAGGTTCTGGACGTAAAACCCAGAGCCACACTTATTCCCTCTTTGTGATCTAGGGACTTCCCCTCTGCTTCATGGGATTTAGTGTCAGTAGCAGCAGAAAATACACAGGCCCAGAGGATCAGACCTGAGGAAGTTCCCTGCTGTGTCTCTTAGCACAGGATGTGGGTGGCTAGGGCAGAAGCCTCAGCACCCAGCGCTGCATGTCCTGAGGGAACTGGGGGCAGTCCCTTCTGTGTCCTACAGCTCTGGGACGGTGGCTGTTGGTGCAACAACAGTTAACTCCTGCAGCTGGTGGGACCTGGAGAGCCCTCTCTGCCTCAGGCGTGTGGCTGCAAGTCCACAATCCGCAGCACAGCCTGCACTTGGCCTGTGAGACCTGGGTAAGGACAGACACTGCATCCTGCAGCTCTGGGACCCTGAGTGTTGGGTCTGGTAGCCCCAGCGACACCTGTGCTTCCCCATGTCTAGGAAAGGCCCTGTCTGCCCCAGGCCTGTGCCTGCTAGTGCACCATCACCAGTATAACCTGTGGTCACCACCTGGGACTTGGGCAAGTACTCTCCGCCTCCTGCAGTTTTGAGTCTAACTGTTTTCTACATCCCAGGGGTACCTGTGCTCAACTTTTGGGGCTGGTGAAGGCCCTATCTACTTTCCACTGACCCAGGCTTCCACCCACTAGTGCACAATCCCAAGTGTAACCTGAGAACAACCCCTGGGTTGCCTTCACGTCCTGCTGCTCTGGGACTGGGACTGGGACTGCTGAAGCTATACTCCACAGAAACCCACGTTCACTCCATGGGACTGGAGAGGACCCTGTCTGCCTTCACTGCTGCAGACCCGTGCTGGCTAGAGCAGAATCCCTAGCATAACCTGCATGTGACATGTAGGACCTGGGCCAGGTCTCCACTGCATCCCGCAGCTCTGAGACAGTAAGCATGAGCTCTGTGAGTCCTGTGATCACCTATGCTTGCTCTGTGAGGCATGGGGATGACTCTGTCTCCATTCTGTTTCTGCAGGCCCACGGCAGCTGGTGCATAATCCCAAGCATGACCTGCACCTTCTGTATGGGACCTGGGAAAGTTTTTCTTCATGCACTACAGCTCTGGGGCTGTAGATATCTGCCATTCGCTGCTTCACTCCCCACATGGCTGTGATAGCTAGAGCTGGGCCAGTCCGAACCCAGGAGCCTGGGGCTTCTTCCAGGTCTCTCATGTTGGTGCAGGAGCCCAAGGACTTGGGCCATCTTCCACTGCTTTCCCAGGCACATTAACAGGGAACTGGATTGGAAGTGGAGCAGCTGGGATTTGAACAGGTGCCCATATGGGATGTTGACACTGTGGGCATCAGCTTAACCCAGTACAATACTGCTCTGCCCCCAGAGATAATATATTTTTAATTAACATTACTGTCCAGGGCTGAATTCTGGGGCTGGCACTGTGACGCAGTAGGTTAATCCTCCACCTTTGTGATGCAGGCATCCCCATATAGGTGCTGGTTCTGGGTCCAGCTCCTCCTCTTCTGATCCAGCTCTCTGCTATGGCCTCCAGGCAGTGGAAGATGGCCCAAGTCCTTGGGCCCCTGCACCCGTATGGGAGACCCAGAAGAAGCTCTTGGCTGCTGGTTTCAGATAGGCCCAGCTTTGGCCATTGTACTATTTGAGGAGTGAACCAGCAGATGGAAGACCTCTCTCTGTCTCTCCCTTTCACTGTCTGTAACTCTACTTCTCAAGTAAATAAATAAAATCTTTAAAAGGGGGGGCTTAATTCTCCACCAAATAGAGTTCAACAGGTAAAAACAAAAAGATCTTAGTGTAGCAGGAATATTGGCAAGGACTATAAACAATAGCCAAATGTAAAGATGAACATTTTGCCTGTGTACAGTGAATTTTAAAGTAATCCTTGATCATTAAAACTATAGTAGCATAACATTCTTAACCATTGTTTTGTCAAACAATAATTAATAATGATATGCTTGGGCCGGTGCTGGGGCATAGAGGGTTAAGCCGCTGCCAGCAGTGCCAACATCCCATGTGGGTGTTGGTTCAAGACCCTGCTTCTCCACTTCCAATCCAGATCCCTGATAATGCACCAGGGAAAGTAGTGGAAGATAGCCCAAGTATTTGGGCCCCTGCACCCATGTAGGAGATCCAGGAGAAGCTCCTGGTTTCAGATAGGCCCAGCCCTGGCTGGAGGCTTTACCCACTCCACTGTTGCTATTGATTTCTCAACAATGTTGCAGTGGATTGGTTTCTGAGAGGAACAGCGTGGCGGGGGCAAGAAGCGCGGAGTCACCACACAGACCCCGGGAGTCGGGTGAAAGCAGGCTTGAGGCGAGCAGCTGGCAGACTCGTTTATTTCAGTTGAAACTACATCATATATAGCCAAGAGCAGCCAATCTGGTCAAGGGGCGGTCTTTGCCCCAACCAATCACAGCCTGTTGCCAGGCAGTTTAAAAAGCCATCCAATCACAGCCTGCTGCCAGGCAGTTTCAAATCCATCCAATCACAGCCTGTTGCCAGGCAGGCTCCATTGCCAGGTGGGTTTCAAAGCCATTCCTGAGTAACTGACGCTCGCTTGCCAGTGGCCACTTTGGCATGGCCTTCTCACTCCACCATGGTGCTGGCCCCAATAAATGGTTCTGACAAAACTGGATATACATATGTAGAAGGATGAAAGTAGATTCCTACCTCTCCATATACAAAAATAGACAAACAAGATTGTGTTAACCTCATAAGCTTCTGCAAAGGGAGAAATCAGAGTGATGAGACACTGGACAAAATGAGAGAAAATATTTGCAAGTTACTTATCTGACAAAGGATTTTAATATCTATATCATGGGGGCTGGTGCTGTGGTGTAGTGGGTAAGGCCATCGTCTGCAGTGCTGACATCCCAAATGGGCACTGGTTCAAGACCCGGCTACTCCACTTCTAATCCAGCTCTTTGCCATGGCCTGGCAAAGCAGTAGAAGATGACCCAAGTCCTTGGATCCTTGCACCCATGTGGGAGACCTGGAAGAAGCTCTTGGCTCCTGGCTTTGGATCTGTGCAGCTCTAGCTGTTGTGGCCATTTGGGGAGTGAACCAGCGGATGGAAGACCTTTCTCTGTGTCTCTCCCTCTCACTGTCTGTAACTCTACCTCTCAAATAAATAAATAAATAAGTAAAATACAGAAAGTAACAAATTCTGGCAAGAAGACTTATACATCGTTGATGGGAATATAACTTAGCGCAACCACAGTGGAAAACAGCCAAGAGATTTCTTTAAAAACTAGAAATAGGGGCTGGTGTTGTGGTGTAGCAGGTTAAGTCTCTGCCTACAATGCTGGCATCCCATATAGGCGCCGGTTGGAGTCCTTGCTGCTCTACTTCCAATCCAGCTCCCTGCTAATGCCCCTGGGAAGGCAGCGGGAGATAGCACAGGAGCTTGGGCCCTGTGCTCATATGAGAGACCCAGAAGAAGCTCCTGGCTCTTGACTTTGGCCTGGCCCAGCCCTGGGCATTATGGCCATTTTTGGGAGTGAACTAGTGGATAGATCTCTCTCACTCGCTCTCTCTTTCTCCCTTCTTCTCTTTGTAACTCTGCCTTTCAAGTAAATAAAAATAGCTCTTTTTAAAAAATATTTTGATCTATTTATTTGAGAGGCAGAGTTACAAACAAATAGAGTGAGAGACAGAGAGAGAGAGAGAGAGATCTTCCATCCATTGGTTCAGTCCCCAAATGGCCACAACTGCGGGAGCTGGGCTGATTTGAATCCAGGAGCCAGGAGCTTCTTCTGGGTCTCCCTTTTGGGTGCAGGGGCTCAAGGACTTGGGCCATCTTCTACTGCTTTCCCAGGTCATCAACAGAGAGCTGGACTGGAAGTGGAGCAGTCAGGACTCAAACCGGTACCCATATATGGGATTCTGGCGCTGCAGTTGGAGGCTTAACCTTCTATGCCACAGCACTGTATCCATAAAAAATAAATTTTTTTTAAAAAAAACTAGAACTAGAACTGCCATACAATCCAACAATCCTATTGGGTATAAATTCAACAGACATGAAATCCTTGTGTCCAAGAGGTATCTGCTCTGCCATGTTCATAGCAGCACTGTTCACAATGGCTAAGACGTGGAATCAACCGAGGTACTCATCACCAGGTGACTGGATAAAGAAAATGTGGTGTGTATACACAAAGGAGCACTGTTCAGACCTAGAAAGGAATGAAATCCTGGCATTTGCAACCAAAAAGAGTGGAGCTGGAGGGTATCATATTAAGTGAAATGAGCCAGACGTAGAAAGACAAATACTGCACGTCCTTCCTCATACATAGAAACTAAAACCAAGAACACAATCTGAACACAGAGTTCAGATTACAACAGGCTGGGAGGGGTTGGAGAGGATGTGGGGAGGCTGGATAATGGATTCCAGATCAAAGCGGGGTTGAAAGAATTAGCTCCTGGTGTTCATGGCATAGCAGGGAGAGCACACAGCTCACAATAGCCCAGTATAAACTGATGAACAAATAGAAGGAAGAAGCCACAAACCTCCAATCCTAAAGTAATGTAAAGAAGAGGAACACTGATTACTCTTTGATCAGCATACACTGTATACATGTATTAAATGTCACACTGCAACCCATAAGTATATACAATTACTCTTAAATAAAAATTTAAGATAAAATAGTAGGGGTTGGATCCAGCATTGTGACATAGTGGGTAAAGCCACTGCCTGCAAGGCCAGTATCCCATAGGGTGCTGGTTTGAGTCCTTGCTGTTCCAATTCTGATTCAGTTCACTGCTAATGGCTTGGGGAAAGCAGCAGAAGATTGCCCAAGTGCTTGGAACCCTGCCATTACATGAAAGACCTGGAAGATGCTCCTGGCTTCTGGATTCAGCTTGGCCCAGCCCTGGTCCTTGCAGCCATCTGGAGAGTGAACCAGCAGATGGAAGATCTGTGTGTGTGTGTGTGTGTGTCCCTCTCTCCCTGCAACTCTATCCAAACAAATAAACAATTTTTTTTATTTGACAGGTAGAGTTATAGACAGTGAGAGAGACAGAGAGAAAGGTCTTCCCTCTATTGGTTCACTCCCCAAGTGGCTGTCACAGCCAGTGCTGTGCCGTTCTGAAGCCAGGAGCCAGGTGCCTCCTCCTGGTCTCCCATGGGGTGCAGGGCCCAAGCACTTGGTCCATCCTCCAATGCCCTCCTGGGCCACAGCAGAGAGCTAGACTGGAAGAGGAGCAACTGGGACTAGAACCTGGTGCCCATATGGGATGCCGGCGCTGCAGGTGGAGGATTAACCAAGTGAGCCACAGCACTGGCCCCAGCAAAAAAAAATTTTTTTTTTTTAAAGAAAGAGTACTGGGGCCAGCGCTGTGGTGTAGTGGGCTAAGCCTTTGCCTGTGGCACTGGCATCCATATGGGCACTGGTTTTAGTCCCAGCTGTCCCTCTTCTGATCCAGCTCTCTGCTATGGCCTGAGAAATGGAAGAGGATGGCCCAAGTCATTGGGCCCCTGCACTTGTGTGGGAGACCTGGAAGAAGCTCCTGTCTCCTGGCTTTGGATCAGCCCAGCCATTGCAGCCATCTGGCGAGTTGACCAGTGGATGGAAGACCTTCTTCTGTTTCTCTCTCTCTCTGTCTGTAATTCTGCTTCTCAAATCAATAAATAAAATCTTTAAAAAATGTAAGTAATAAACCTTCTTTCTCTTCTTCTATCTCTTTGTTTGCGCCAGGCAGAGTGGACAGTGAGAGAGAGAGACAGAGAGAAAGGTCTTCCTTTGCCGTTGGTTCACCCTCCAATCGCTGCCGCGGCCGGCGCACCGCGCTGATCCAATGGCAGGAGCCAGGTACTTATCCTGGTCTCCCATGGGGTGCAGGGCCCAAGGACTTGGGCCATCCTCCACTGAACTCCCTGGCCACAGCAGAGAGCTGGCCTGGAAGAGGGGCAACTGGGACAGAATCCGGCGCCCCAACCGGGACTAGAACCCGGTGTGCTGGCACCACAAGGCAGAGGATTAGCCTTGTGAGCCACAGCACCGGCTAGTAATAAATCTTACAATATGACTTCAGATCTAAATACTTTATTTGTGCTAAAACCAATATTTGTACCATTTAGTAATTCCATTAACATTTTGACTCTGTTTTTTTTAATGGAAGCAAACTTTTGGATAATATAAATTATTAAAGATTTTTAAAAAGATCCCATAATATGTTATTTATAAGAAACTCACCTCACCTCTAAGGACACAGATAGAATAAAAGTGAAAGGGGGAATAAAATATCTCTTGTGAAGATACCCCAAAAGAAAGCAGGAGTAGCCATACTTCTATAAGACAAGTTGATTTTAAGTCAAAAGCAATAAAGAGAGACAAAGAAGGTTACTATATAATGATAAAATATTCAATCCAGCAAGAAGAAATAACAGTTGTAATTATATGTGAATCAAATATTGGAGCACTCAAATTCATAAAGCAAATATTAATAACTCTGAAGGGAGATATAGGTTCCAGTACTAAAATAGAATGGGACATTAACAGTCTACTTTTGGGGCCAGCGCTGTGGCATAGCAGGTAAAGCCACTGCCTACAGTGCCGGCATCCCATATGGGCACTGGTATGACACCTGGCTGCTCCACTTCTGATCTAGCTCTCTGCTATGGCCTGGGGAAGCAATGGAAAATGGCCCAAGTCTTTGGGCCCCAGCACCCACTTGGGAGACCTGGAGGAAGTTCCTGGCCCCTAGCTTCAGAGTGGCACAGCTCTGGCTGTTGTGGCCAATTGGGGAGTGACCCAGGGGATGGAAGATGCCCCCCCCATCTCTCCTTCTGTCTCTGTGTAACTCTGACTTTCAAATAAATAATCTTTTTTTTTTTAAAAGGATTTTTGAGATTATTAGGAACAACTATTTGGGAAGAAATTTGATAACCTAGAAGAAATGGGCAGATTCTAGATACATATACCTTACCAAGATTGAATTATTAAAAAGCAGAATATCTAAGCACACAATATTAAACAGTGAGGTTGAATAGGTAGTTGAAAGTCTTCCATCAAAGAAAATCCCGAGGCCAGATGACTGCACCACTGAATTCTACCAAAAATTTAAAGAAAAATGAACACCAATTCTTTTTTTTTTTTTTTTTTTTGACAGGCAGAGTAGACAGAGAGAGAGAGAGAAAGGTCTTCCTTTGCCGTTGGTTCACCCCCCAATGGCTGCCGCAGCCAGCGCACCGCGCTGATCTGAAGCCACAAGCCAGGTGCTTCTCCTGGTCTCCCATGCAGGTGCAGGGCCCAAGGACTTGGGCCAT